TCCATTTCTCTCCATTTCCTCATTTCCCCATTTTCCATTTCCCCCTTCGTCCTGTTTTCCCATTTCCCATTTTCCAAATCCCCGGTACTCCATTTCTCTCCATGTTTCATTTCCCCATTTTCCATTTTCCCATTTCCCATTTTCCAAATCCGCGTATTCCATTTCTCTCCATTTCCTTATTTTCCCATTTCCCATTTTCTTCGTATTCCCCTTCGTTCCGTTTTCCCCGTTTCCCATTTTCCAATTCCAAATCACCTCGTTTTCCTCCGGTTTCCGACTTACCATGTTCTACTTTCTCTATTCTCTTGTTTTCCCATTCTCTATTTTGTCCATTTTATTCGCTGTTTATTCGCTGTTTATTCGCACTATTCGAATAAAAATCCTCGCAGGCAGTTGACATAAGAAAACTGTGATCTCGAACTGTGAACCTTCGAGCCGCAAAATACTGAACCTTGACCCACACAAAATCCCTCTGTAGTCTCAAACTCGATTTCCACCATCGACAAATTTTCCTCGGACACGATCTCGGCGATCGACGTGTTAAAATCCACGGTTCAGCGGTATTCCCCTACCTAACGATTCCTGTCCTCGACGATCAACGATCTCCCTCCCCTATCCTCCCACCACTACCACCACCCCCACCCTACCCTTACGCTTCACCCGATCGTCGAACACAAAAATTTCCCCAAAAAGAATCGCTCGAAACGTTTTCGACGTCGCGAAAGATACGTCTTCGAGGACTCCCTCCGAACGAAAGAGGGGTTTCACGTGAAAAAAAAAAAGAGGTGGGGGGGGGGTCGAGGGTGTGGAGAGCACGCTCCGCCCACCCGTCCCCTTGCCGCTACGCATCGACGCGCGGGGGGTGATATAAATTCTTGCACTTTACCGTAACAGTGTTTATTTACAGCGTATTATAAGACTCGATACATGTTAGCTTGACTTCGTTTGTACTTGGGGCCTGGGCTCGATGGCCCTACGATGAAACTTTACAATATTTACAGCGACGCGAGACCGCAGGAACAGGAGACGAGTGAAAGAGAGTAGGGGAGGGGGAGAGGGGAGAGGGGGGATGGTAAGTAGGGGAAACTGCGAGTCTACCGGGGAGGGGGACGTTGCGAAAACAAAGACAGGAGTTTGGAAAATTGTTTTCGCGATTCCTGCCCCTTCGAACGTCTCTCGTTTCGCACGAGGCGCGAGGGATGGGGTAAGGGGTAATGGAGGGGTGTGGGGGGGGGGTGGGGTTGTGCGAGAGAGGGGAGCTTGACTTCATTACGTTAGAACGAGAGCGGCGGGCTGCGTCCTGAGCTGCTGATCACTCGCAATTCATGTGTACTCCGATCGCCAACCGGTCTGAAACCAGACAAAGAACATCCATTTGGTTTTCTCGCCGTACGAACCTCGAAACATGTTCGTGCCCCCGCGAGGAAATGTTCTCGGACACGCTGACGGGAATCCGTGTGTTGTAGGGCAAAAGGGTAGGGGATGGATAGTTTGTGGACGCTTGGTACAGTAGCCCTCGACTAGATTAGATCCGGATGGGATTACTATTATCGGGATAGTCCGGACAATAGGACGTCTAGACGAGTCTAGCGCCCGATACAGACCTGACTAAGTCGGGTCTGAGTATCTAGCACGACTATTGATCGGATCGTCAGGACTATAAGGCACCTGTACCAATAAAGAGACTATGGCAGACTTGACTAGGTGGGATCTGAGTGGTTAGGATGACTACTGATCAGATCGTCAGGACTATAAGGCACCTGGACCAATAAAGAGACTATGGCAGACTTGACTAGGTGGGATCTGAGTGGTTAGGATGACTACTGATAAGATTGTCAGGACTATAAGGCACCTGGACCAATACAGAGACTATTGCAGACTTGACTAGGTGGGATCTGAGTGGTTAGGATGACTATTGATCAGATCGTCAGGACAATAAGGCACCTGGACCAATATAGGGACTACTGCAGACTTGACTAGGTGGGATCTACGTGTTTAGGATGACTATTGCTCGGATTGCCAGAACAATAAGACACCTAGACCAATCGAGAGGCTAAGGTAGACTCGGCTAGGTGAGATCCGGGTTATTGGATTAGGTCTGGGTATGATAATTGATTAGATCGCCAGGACTATAACAGGCCTAGACTAGCCCACACTTGACTAGATTGAATCTAGGTGCCTAGGATGGTGTACCATCCAAACTCTCAGGAGTGAGGTACAGCCAGGTCCAAAGACTATTCCATGGTAGATTCCGGATCTTCTAGCAGTTTATACCATCAGGATCATAGGACACCTACACCAGGACTGAGTAGAATCTACATTGGATCAGGTCAGCTGAAGGTCCTCCTGTCGTCATGAGATGCTAATCAACTTGCCAAGTTCTCAGACCAGGGATCCGCATGTTTGCCAAGAGGGATGGAACATTTCCTCGCCAGTGGAGCTACGACTAGGCTACTACTATAACTATCGTAAGCTAGAGACCTCAGGATGACGCATCAATCCCTCCAGTCATCAGAAATTCAATTCTGACCCCCTTCGAGTACTACAATCGTTCTCCGAGATACGAACAGTTCAACGGAGGATCCTCCGTCAATCTTAAACGTGGCGGGGAACCTTGACAAGGTCGCATCGCGTGCTTTCGTGCGTTTATAGTGACGCGTTGAATTGGAAAAGGACAGGCTCCCAGTTGCGCGTTTAGGTGAAAGCGGGATGGCGAAAACGATTCGGTACTCACCATTGCGTTCGTCGTGGCGGCCAGTTGGAGACCCTGAAGACTCGTCATGTGATGGGAATGGGAATGCGAGTGCGAGTGCGGGTGGATGGGGGGCGGCGCCGGTGGCGCAAATCCTTGATGAAGACCTCCAGCCACGCCGACGCCCGTGTGATACATGTAATGCTGCATCGCCGGATGCATCGTGTGGTGATGCTGCGACGTACCTGGAACGACAATGAAGCGAACGTTTACCGTACGTTTCGACTACTTCCCATACGGATCGCGGATTTATCGTAAGTCGTCGCGACGCATTACAATGCCGCCAACTCGGACTGTTACGACGAAGCCTTTGGGGCTACAGGTTATTCTCTGGTGTTTGGGATGGGCTTTGGGTGCTTTCAGGGTTTCTCTGTGGGGCCAATTCAGACCTGACCTTGAATAATAGAAATATGTTGCTTTGAGTGTTTTTGTGTGGGCCCAGCGCAGACCTAACCCAGACCTAACCGTGAATAATAGGAAGGTTTCGGAAATGTTGAGTAGCGTTAATGTATACATGTATACTGTTTATGTGAAAATACTGTCTGAGAGGGTTTGATGCATTTGTTTTAGTGATGGAGGGAGAGACAATATTGCTTACAGTTGATGTATACACCAACGCAGACCTAACCGTGATTAATAGGAAGGTTTGGGAAATGTTGAATGGTGTTAATGTGTACATGTATACTGTCTACGTGGAAATACTGTCTGCGAGGGTTTGATGTATTCGTTTTGGCGATGGGGGTGGAGGTCAATATTGCATACTGTCTGAGCATGTTTGGAGCATTCTTTTCTCCGATGGCTGGGCTTGGAAATATTAATTACTGCTAATGTATGCATTCCATCTATGAAAATACTGTCTGAGTA